TATAACGTAGAAAGGGACAACGAAGCCCAGGATAGTATTAGCAGTACCTGTGAATTTGTCCCCAGTAGAAATCACAGATATTTGCCTGTCACTGTACAGTTGGTGTTATTTTAAGGCCGGAACGTTTGCTCTTCAGAAGGACCAGCTGCGGTGATTGTTGGAGGCAAATGAATATGCAGGGATCCTCCCGACAGGGGGCACCCCCCCCTCCCCCCCTCCCCCTCCCCCCCCCCCCCCCGTGCTCCACCCCACCCTTCCTCACCTTAGGACACGTGTAGAGAAGACTCTGAAAAGGAGATTTGAGAGCTTGTAAAATGGAGATATAATTGACATTGTATTAGCTTCAGATGTACAACACGATGTGTATCTATTGGGAAAAGATCACCACATTAAGTCTAGGGAACATCCATCAACCCAAAGTTAAAGTTGTCCTGTTTCGTTTTTTTAATTCTTTTCAGTTTAGAATAGCTGCTCAGTTTCTTTCTGAAGATCATAGGCCGGTAGCTTTGCAGCCAGTTCCTTTGTTTGCAGTTATCTGATGTTTCTTCATGGTTTGATTCGGATTATGTAATTTTGGCAGAGATATTACAGAAGCTATGCTGTGTTCTCCTCACGTGAGTGGGAGCGTGCAATGTCTATCCGGCCATTATGCTTGAGGCATGAACTCCAATCACTGTGCTATCACCGTACCATCTGCCAGATTTCTCCACCATAAATTTACTTGGTGGTTTGGTGTGTTTTTTTTTTGCCCTTTTAAGAAATATATATTTTACGGGGGTATTTTGAAAATTGTGTAATTAGCCCAGTCTTGCTCAAACTTTCTATTTATTTTTTTACATTGGTGTGGACTTGTGGGCTCTTATTTTATTCAATGAGCTATAATCAGTTATTGTCATTGGTTATTTTTTAAATATATTTTTATTGATTTCAGAGAGGAAGGGAGAGGGAGAGAGAGAGAGAAACACCAATGATGAGAGCGAACCATTGATCGGCTGCCTCCCGCACACCCGCTATGGGGGATCGCACACCCGCTATGGGGGATCGCACACCCGCTTTGGGGGATCGCACACCCGCTATGGGGGATCGCACACCCGCTATGGGGGATCGCACACCCGCTATGGGGGATTGCACACCCCCTATGGGGGGTCGGGCCCGAACCCGGGCATGAGCCCCTGACCGGAATTGAACCCACAACTCTTCAGCCTGCAGGCCGCCACTCTGTCCACTGAGCCAAGCCGGCTAGGGCGTCATTGGTCATTTCGATGTCCAGTTAGTCACTGTGATGTTTGGCTCTTCTAGCTGCTTCCTGTATCCTTTTGATGCGTTCCATCACCCTTTGGGCACTTTCTTATTTTTTGGTACAGAAGGCGCTCCAGGCCCATCTTGTACTTTCCCTGCCCCAGGCCTGGAATCAACCAGTTCCCTTTAGTGGAGGACAGGATTTAGAAGCCAAGATCTGGGCCCCGGGTATGCTCACTGTTCTTGGATTATTATTGCTGCTCCCAGGCCTTCTCCAGGAGACTGAGCTAGAGAAATATGTATGTACACACACACACACACACACACACACACACACACACACGTACACACACTGCCATCTGTATTCATGTCTATATATATCTGTGTCTATTGAAAACCATGACTTCACTCTACATCCCCAATTCCAATCTAACACCCTAGAACCCATGCTAGTTTCCCCTTCCTATATTTGTTTTTTTTTTTTAAGTATATATTTTTATTGATTTCAGGAGGTGAGAAGTGGTCAAATGGGGGCATCTGTGATAAATCAGAGGGGAAGGAAGAGGGAGAGAGAGATAGAAATATCAATGATGAGAGAGAATCAGGGATCGGCTGCCTCCTGCAAGCCCCCCAATGGGGATCGAGCCCACAACCTGGGCATGTGCCCTGACTAGGAATCAAACAATGACCTCCTGGTTCATAGGTCAACGCTCAACCACTGAGCCACACTGGCCGGGCCCCTTCCTATATTTGTAACCATCTCTTCTGACAGGGAGCGATCCAGCACATGCAGGACCCTTTCAGGTGGAGGATGGAGTGTTCAGAAAGATCTCTCCGAGGAGGTGACATTTAAGCTAAGACTTGAAGTGAGGGCATAAGCCATGCAGGTTCCGGGAGAAGAATGTTCTGGGCAGACACTGCGGCCCGCCCAGAGGCCCTGAGCACACACCAACCACGCTGGTGTGTTTGAGGAACAGCAGGCATCCTGTGGCTGAGCCAGAGGGCAGATGATGTCAGCCAGGAAAGGGGAGAGTTCAGGTAGCAGCTTGTAGACCATTGTAAAGACTTTAGTTTTCCCCAAAGATAGAGAGCCACTGGGACATTTCACATACAAAGGATTGCTGTGACTAGAAGAGCAGTGGGGAGACGTGCAGTAAACCAGTGAGGGGGCACGGCTGGGCAGGAGGTGAGAGATGGTCAAATGGGGGCATCTGTGATAAATTAGACGGGGCATGTAGAGTGTGAGAGGTAGGTAGTGGTGTGTGGTGCTACACAAGTGTTCGTTAAACAAATAAAATAGAAAAAAAATTGGCGGGGCGAGGTGGCTCAGTGGCTGAGCATCGACCTATGAACCAGGAGGTCACAGTTCGATTCCCTGTCAGGGCTCGATCCCCAGTAGTGGACCTGCAGGAGGCAGCCAATCAATGATTCTCTCTCATCATTGATGTTTCTCTCTCTCTCTCTCTCTCTCTCTCTCTCTCTCTCTCTCTCTTTCTCTTTGAAATCAATAATATATATATATTAATATATTTTTATTGATTTTTTTACAGAGAGGAAGGGAGAGGGATAGAGTCAAAAACATTGATGAGAGAGAAACATCAATCAGCTGCCTCCTGCACACCCCCCACTGGGGATGTGCCCGCAACCAAGGTACATGCCCCTGACCGGAATCGAACCCGGGACCCTTCAGTTCGCAGGCCGACGCTCTATCCACTGAGCCAAACCAGTCAGGGCTATATATATATTTTAAAAAAAAAATTGTATGCAAAGCATTTAGTACAGCAGGTGACATAATAAACTAATCGGTTGATGAATGAAGGTGAAAACCTTCCCAGTAGGCTCCTGTTCCCCACCTATTCACCTGGCCACCCTGGCATCTGGGAACAATGCCCCTCGCTCAGAGCTACCCCCTTTCAGCCAGACTCCCTCCCACCCCCGCCCGCCACTCCCAATGAGTCAAAACTCCCACTTTCCCTGGGCCCTGTCTCTGCAGGGTGTGGGGCGGCATCTGATAAGTTCGTCACCGTAAGTTAATGACTTCTTGCAAGAGGCCTACCCCTTCCGGAGGTATCCACATTTTTTAAAAGGCGGCACCTGACTTACTTGGCTCTGTGAATGTGGTAGGAACTCAGACAGCAGGGCAGCGTGGTGGAGGAGGTCATTGGATTCTGGGCAGCACTCAAATGACACCCTCCAAAGGTGTGGGGCCTGGAGGGGCCCAGCCAGACCGCATTCCTCCTCCCCCCTGCCTCCAACAGCAATCAGGGTGGCATTTCCTGTCTCTACTTACCTCCAGAAGGTGATCCACCTTCGGTCAGAAGATCACACATCCTGGATGCTTTCCCCAAGATGGGCAGGGCATGGTGTGGCCACCCTGCACCCCTGGGAGCCCTGGCTCAGCCATCAGACTCCGCCCACTGATGGAGACTTGTAACCCTGAAGCCACTGCACTCAGGCCTCCATTGGGTGCAGAACTGGTTTCTGTGCCAGACAGGTTTAAGAAGCAAGGTCTCCTAAAACACCATGAGATGCCGCTTGACGCCCTGCAGGGAGGTGATACTCAAAAGGACCCATCGCAACAAGTGATGACAAGCATATGGAGAAATGGAAACCTTCCTACACGGCTGGTGGGGATGTCAAATGGTGCGGCCACGTTGGGAAACAGCTTGGCAACTCCTAAAAGGCTTAGCCATGAAGTCACCATGTGACCCAGAAACACCACTCTCAAGTACATACCCAGGAGAAATGAACACATACATCCACACACACAAAAAAGCTGGTAACTCGTGACTATAGCAGCATTTTTCATAACAGCCAAAAAAGTGGGAACAACTGATTAAAATGTGGCATATCTGGCCAATGGGACCTTATTTAGCAATAAAAAGGAATGAAATGCTGACATTTGGGACAACCTGGAGGGACCTTGAAAACATGATCCTAAATGAAAGAAACCAAATGCAAAAGGCCCGCATGTTCTGTGATTCATTCCACTTATAGAAAATGTGGTAAACAAATACATAGAGACAGAACTTAGGCTACGGGTTGGCAGGGCCTGGGAGAAGCTGGGAGTGACTGTAAATGGGTATAAATTTTTTTTTGGGGGGGGTGGGGTGGTGAAAATGTTCTAAAACTGATGGCCCAACTATGAAACTATACCAAAAGCCATGGAATTGTACACTTTATTTTATTACTAATTTTAAAAGGTATAGAATAGTAAGCTATGCACAGGATCAATCAAAAATATTTTTATTGATTTCAGAGTGGAAGGGAGGGGAAAAGAGAGACAGAAACATCAATGATGAAAGAAAATCATTGACTGGCTGCCTCCTGCAGGCCCCCTACTGGGGATTGAGCCCCCAAAATTGAACCCGGGACCCTTCAGTCCACAAGCTGACGCTCTCTCCACTGAGCCAAACCAGCCGGGGCTGGAATTGTACACTTTAAATGGGTGTATGGATTGTGAGTAATATCTCGTTAAAACAGTTATATATTTGAAAAAATGAAAACAAGGAAGAAGAAAGAGGAAGGAAGGGAAGGAAGGAGGGAGGGAGGGAGGGAGGGAGGGAGGGAGGGAGGAGGGGGTGGGAAGGAGGGAGGAAGGAAAGAAGAGAGGGAGGGAAAGAGGGAAAGGAGAAGGACAGAGGCAAGGAGGGAAGAAGGGAAGGAGGGAGGGAGGGAGGGAGGGAGGAGGAAGGAGGGAGGAGGGGATAGGAAGGAGGGCGGAAGGAGAGAGCAGGCTCCTGTGGAAGGGAAACAGGGCCAGGCACTCTGACTAAGTGGAAACACCCAGGTCCGTGGGAACTGATCTCACCTCTCCAGAATGTGGGCAGACGGGACAAAGACGAGCAGTGCCCAAGGGACCACAGAAGGTATGGCCACTCTTCCTTAGGAAAATATCCCACAGGATTTGCTTGGGGAACCACGGGAAAGAATGGGGTTATTAAGAAAAATGATTCCGCACTTGGAAATAAGGCAACAGGAGGCTGTATGCCCTTTGAGCTCATGCTGGAGCAGCCCGCGCCTGGGTTATTTTGTTATCTATGGGCTGTGCCTTTGACTTGAACTTTCCTGTGGATCAGGGCCCAGATTCTGTAAAGCTGTGCGCTAATGTATACAATTCTACTCTATAGAGATGCAAGTGATCTTTTTGTTCTTGTTAGAAAGAATGGGAGAGGGAGAGATAGAAACATCAATGATGAGAATCATTAATGGGCTGCCTCCTGCACACCCCCTACTGGGTGGGGATCGAGCCCGCAACCTGGGCATGTGGCCTTGACCGGAATTGAACCTGGGTCCCTTCAGTCGGCAGGCCGGTGCTCTGTCCACTGAGCCAAACCAGCTGGGGCTGTTCATATTCTTTTTTTCTTTTCTTTTTTTTTTTAATATATTTTATTGATTTTTTTACAGAGAGGAAGGGAGAGAGATAGAGAGTTAGAAACATCGATGAGAGAGAAACATCGATCAGCTGCCTCCTGCACATCTCCCACTGGAGATGTGCCCGCAACCCAGGTACATGCCCTTGACTGGAATCGAACCTGGGACCTTTCAGTCCGCAGGCCGACGCTCTATCCACTGAGCCAAACCGGTTTTGGCCTGTTCATATTCTTAAAGTTACACTCTGACGGGGAACAGAGATCCTTTCCTCTACAGCAGGCCCCCCCTTATCCACGGTTTCAATTACCTGCTGTCCCCTGTGGTCGGAAAATATTACATGGAACATTCCAGAAATAAACAATTCACAAGTCATCCTGCTCCGTCCTGCCCGCAACACGACTCTCCCCTTTGTCCAGCGTATCGGCGATGTAGACGCTGCACACCCACCCGTCAGTCCTGGTTATCAGATGGACCGTTATGGGATAACAGTGCTTGTGCTCAGGTCACCCTGAGAGTTGCCTAGCGCCAGGTCGCCATGCCTGTCATGCACTTCCCTAGCTCGTCACATAGACACGGTATCACCTCATCTAATCACAAGACTTAGGGTAAACACAGACACAGCACGAGGAGGTATTTTAAGAGCGAGAGAAACCACACTCACGTGTTTGTTTGTTTTTTTGTTTTTTTTTAATATTTTATTGATTTTTTACAGAGAGGAAGGGAGACGGATAGAGAGTTAGAAACACCGATGAGAGAGAAACATCGATCAGCTGCCTCCTGCACACCTCCTACTGGGGATGTGCCTGCAACCAAGGTACATGCCCTTGACGGGAATCGAACCTGGGACCCTTCAGTCCGCAGGCCGACGCTCTATCCACTGAGCCAAACCGGTCAGGGCCACACTCACGTTTTATTATGGTTCATTGTTAGCACTGTTCTACGTTATTATTAGTTACTGTTGTTCATCTCTTACTGTGCCTAATTTATAAATTAAACTAAAAACAGGTTTGTATGGGAAAGTCCGTGTGCTGGTCCCTCCCGCCACTTGGCTGAAAGGATGCTGTCAGCCTGGCACAAATCCTCACTACGGTGGGAGACTGGAGAGTTATTTCTGGAGAATCCCCAGAAAATTAACCTTTGGACTTTCGGAGCCAAGCTAAGTCTCCATGGAGCAGCAAAACCTCAAGCGTGAGGCTTTTAACACAGACGTTAGCCCAAGCCGGCATGGCTCAATGGTTGAATGGCAACCTATAAACTAGGAGTCGTTGCTCAATTCCAGGTAAGGACACACGCCCCCGGGGTTGCAGGCTCGCTCTCCAGTGAGGGGCGTGCGGGAGGCAGCTGATCCATGATTCTCTCTCATCACTGATGTTTCTATCTCGCTCTCCCTCCCCCTTTCTCTCTGATATCAACAAAAATCTATTTTTAAAAAACAGATGTTAAATCCCACTATAATTAATATCCTTAGTGAGAGAAGGTATTGTATCCATGCAACAAAAATAAGATTCTTTTAAACATTGTGTTGTTGTTGTTGACAAGATTCTTTTTTGTTAAGTGTCTTGTTTGCAAAATGGCGATAACTCCTAGATACAGAGAACAGACTGATGCTGCCAGATGGGGAGCAGGTTGGAAGGTGGGTGAAAAAGGTGAAGGGATTAAGAAAGACAAATTGGTAGTTACAGAATAGTCACGGGAATGTAAATTACAGCGCAGGGAATACAGTCAATAACATTGTAATCATTATGTATGCGGCCAGGTGGGTACTTGAAATTTTCAGGGGATCCCTTTGTAGAGTATATAATTGTCGCACCACTGTGCTGCACCCCTGAAACTAATACAGAATAATATTGAATGTAAAACTGTAATTGGAAAAATAAATAAATAAAAAGTCTTTTTTGGGCTTCCCCAGAAGCAGACTCGAAGTAAACAATTTCAGTGCAAGCGACCGTTGGTAGGTAATCCCAGAAACTACTGGTTGAGGAGTTGAAAAGGGAGACGGAGAAGGGAAAGAGGCCAATCAAAGGTTACTACTGTGGTCACCGGAGCCTGCTCCTGCTGGGACCCCAGGAGACAGCAGCGGACAGCCTCAGAAGTATCCCAACCAGCGCACGGGGACCCACAAGGGCTTCTGAGGGAAGTGACCTTCACCACTTCCAGTTTGCCCTGCACATAAGCTGCCAATGTTACTTGGAAGAAAACAGCCCCTGGGCAGAGCTCTGCAGATATTTGCAGTAAACAGCCCTGGGCAGCAAGCAGGAGGAGGGGTGGGGAGGTGAATGCCAAGGGCTAGTGCCAACAGCCGCTGCTACAAGAAGCAATCAGAAACAGGAAAGATTCTTGTCAATTAAAAAAAAAAGTAAATAAATGTGAGAGCAGAAATAAAACATTCAAGGAAGGGTGAGAAGGAAAAGTGGAAGATAACCTGACTTCCTGGATCTGGGGTGCAGGCGGGACTTCAGGATTATGGGCTGCTCCCTGGTGCAGTTGAATTGAGAACCACTATTTGGCAGGGGATAAAAAAGTCCTTCCAGATCACCATCATGTAAGCAGAGAATTCTGATTTAACCAGAATATCATCATGTAACTGCATGGGAGGAAGAGAGAGACTGGAAGCAAGTGGGTGGGGCGGTGAGTATAAAACATTCAATCCACACCTACCATTGGAAGACAGTAGACCCTGCCTCAGGTTGATAAATCAAGAAACAGCATATAAGCACCACATTTTGAAATATGGAGGTAAATGCCAGAAGAAACAGCTGAAGGGCCAAGTAAGTCATCTTCTCAGAGGAGCAGAGCTCAGAGAGAATTCACGTGTATGTATGTGTGTGTGTGTGTGTTGAGGGGGGATGCGTTACTCATTTTTGCTACAAACATTGTAATATTATCTGGTTTTTAAATACCATGAACATGCATGAATTCGATCAAAATTTTCAAAATAACCCTATATAATAAAAGGCTAATATGCAAATCGACCAAATGGTGGAACAACCGATGGCTATGATGCACACCGACCACCAGGGGGCAGACGCTCAACGCAGAAGCTGCCCTCTGGTGGTCAGTGCACTCCCACAGGGGGAGCGCTGCTCAGCCAGAAGCCGGACGGCTGGCGACCGCAGAGGCGGTGATGGGAGCCTCTCCGACGTTCGCGGCAGCGCTAAGGATGTCCGACTGATGGCTTAGGCCTGCTCCCCACGGACTGTGAGATGGCCAGGCTGAGGGAACCCCCCACCCCAAGGCACACTGACCACCAGGGGGCAGACGCTCAATGCAGGAGCTGCCCCCAGCCCGCAGGCCCTGATTGGCTGATCGGGGCCTGCCAGGCAATCTCTTGGTCCCTTCCCCCAGTCGCAGGCTTCAATTGCCGATGGGGAACCGGGAGCCGGGGGTGGGTGGCAGTGGACTCGGGCGGCACGGGGGCCCTGATTGCCCCGCCAGTTGCTCCACACACAGAGGGAGACCAGCAGCGGTGGCGGCCGGGGACAGGGCCGGCTGCCAGCAGCCAGGGAAGATCGGCCTTGATCGCAGGCCAGGCCTAGGGACCCTACCCCTGCACGAATTCCGTGCACTGGGCCACTAGTGGATAAATAAACTGTGAAAGCCCTGGCTGGGTGGCTCAGTTGGTTGGAGTGTTGTCCTGTACACCAGAAAGGAAGGCAACCAATCGATCTCTCTCCCTCTCTCTCTCTCTCTCTCTCTCTCTCTCTACCTATCTATCTATCTCTATCTCTCTATCTCTCTCTCTCTCTGAAAAATCAATAAACATATCCTCAGATGAGGATTAAAAATAATTAATAATAATAAAATAAATTGTGATACTTCCATACAATGGAATATTACTCAGCACTAAAAAGAAATGCCCTGACTGGTTTGGCTCAGTGGATAGAGCATCGGCCTGCAGACTGAAGGGTCCCGGGTTCGATTCCTGTCAAGGGCATGTACCTGGGTTGCGGGCGCATCCCCAGTGGGGAGTGTGCAGGAGGCAGCTGATCGATGTTTCTCTCTCATCAATGTTTCTACCTCTCTATCCCTCTTTTTCTCCCTTCCTCTCTGTAAAAAAATCAATAAAATATATTTTTTAAAAAAAGAAAAGAAATGAGCTATAAAGCCACGAAAAGATATGGAAGAACCTTAGACTGCACATGACTGGGTGAAAGAAGCCAGTCTGAAAAGGCTACGTACGGTATGATCCCAACTAGAGGACGTTCGGGAAAAGGCAAAACTATGGAGCCAGGAGAAGGATCAGTGGTTGCCAGGGGTTGCCAGAGGACTGGCAGAGCACAGAGAAAATGCGATACCGTAATTGTGAACACCTGTCATTATACACTTCGTCTAAACCTTAGGCTGTGCCACACCAAGAGCAAATCATAACGTAACCTATGGACTCTGGTGGTAACGATGTATCCCTGCAGGTTCATCAGATGTAAGCAATGTACCACTCCAGGGGGCGATGTTGGTAATGGGGGAGGCTCTGAGTGTGTGGGGGGGGGGCGGCGGGGGGGGGGGAGAGTATACGGAAACCTTTGTACCTTCCCCTCAATTTTGCTGTAAACCGAAAATTGCTCTGAAAACATCCTAATAAAGAACATTGAATATGCATTACACAGAACCTGCATGGTCCACAAGGGGCTGTTAATAATGGTTTCCTCTGGGGGTGTGGATTGAGACCGGAAGGGAAGGAGGGAGGGAGGGAGGGAGGGAGAACTTTCCTTTTCCTCTGTGTCAGTCAGTAATACTTGTCCTACAGGGACTGCGGTAGCCCCGGCGGCTTTGGGAAAGAATGGAGTTCCCGGTATTTCTGGCCGGCACGCGCCTCCTGCTTTTGACAAGGGACAAGGGAGAAGGGGGAAGGTCCTGGCTTGGCAAGGACGTGGCCCGCCTCCAGGGGGATCCGGCGGAGCCAGCGGTGACAGCGGAAGGGCATGTGGACAGAGTGACTCACTTTCCAGGAGGGGTGGAGACAGCGCCCTCCCCGCCTTCCAGGTGAGCTGCCAGGGCGCCGGGGCCCGCGGAGCGCCTTGCTCCCGCAGTCCGGAGCCCGCCCAGGGGTGGGAGTTGGGGCTGGGGGATCTGGGCACCCTTGGGCCTGGGGGGAGAGGTTGTAGTTGGGGATAGTGAAAGGTTTTCATCATCCTTTTGTTTGCAGGGAATTGGATACACACTCGGAGGAGGCGAGGTGAGGCGTGGGGAGGCCCAGGAGCCAGGGAGAGTGGGAGGTCCCGGCCACTGTCAGCTGGAGGGGCAAGGGAGCAGGTCACTGGGGCCCAGGGGCTGGGGCCACCTGCAGAAGCTGGAACCACCACAGGCCTGTCCTTGGAGCCATGGAGAAGAGCCAGCCACAACCAGAGGCGTTGCCGAGGCAGAGGGAGGGAACGCCCCCTCCCCCCAGGCTTCTTCCATTCTCCTGCCTCCAGCTGACCCAGGAGCCTGGGAAACATACCCTAAGGGTTCATTGCCAAGCCCTGCCCGCAACACAGGGAAGGGGAGGAATAGATCTCAGGGGGCATGGGGCCAGGACGGCCCGTGGCCTTTCCACCTTGGCATTCCAATAGCCCATCCAGTGCCTGACACAGATCCAGGCTCCATAGCTGCGTGTGAACAAGTGACCGACTGGAGGGGGCGGAGGGCACAGTGCCACGCTCACTGACGGCTTTAAAAAGCGAAAGCCCGGCCCTGGCTGGGTGGCTCAGTTGGTTGGAGCATCCTCCTGTATACAGGAGGCAACCAATTGATGTTTCTCTCACACATCAATGTTCCTCTCTCTCTCTCTCCCTCTCTCTCTTTGAAAAAATCAATAAAAAAAGATTAAAAAAAAAAAAGTGAGCCCTACCGGTTTGGCTCAGTGGATAGAGCGTCGGCCTGCAGACTGAAAGGTCCCAGGCTCGATTCCGGTCAAGGGCATGTACCTTGGTTGCAGGCACATCCCCAGTGGGGGGTGTGCAGGAGGCAGCTGATCGATGTTTCTCTCTCATCGATGTTTCTAGCTCTCTATCCCTCTCCCTTCCTCTCTGTAAAAAATCAATAAAATATATATATTTTTTAAAAAGTGAAAGCCTGGTATAAGAACTGTTGAACGGCATCTACGGACGTGGAACATACTTTGACCTCACTTGATCCATGACCCCTTGAAACCTGGACACGCTGTATTTCTCTCCTGTAGCACCTCCCTCCCTGTCATTCTCCACGTCACACTGGGAGCTCCTTGTGAGCTTGCTGCTCACTGCTGCACCCCTAGGGCCAAGCACGCAGCAGGTGCTCATATATTTGTTGACAGAAGAGAGGAAAGTGCTCTGGGGCCATAAGATGATGGGCCACCTCCCCCGGGGTTGGTCTCTTCTCTATGACATACAAATAGTCACTGCCCATAAGCCAGTTTCTTTATCTGACTATTTTTTTAGCAACTTCCCTTTGGGGGAAAAAGAAGCCCGGTACTTCTTCTTCTTATTATTATTATTATTATTATTAAACATATATATATTTTTAATATATTTTATTGATTTTTTTACAGAGAGGAAGGGAGAGAGATAGAGAGGAACATCGATGAGAGAGAAACATCGATCAGCCGCCTCCTGCACATCCCCCACTGGGGATGTGCCCGCAACCCAGGTACATGCCCCCGACCGGAATCGTATCGGGACCCTTCAGTCCACAGGCCGCCGCTCTATCCACTGAGCCAAACCGGTTTCGGCTATTATTAAATATATTTTTATTGATTTCAGAGAGGAAGGGAGAGGGAGAGAGAAATGTTAATGATGAGAATTATTGATCAGCTGCCTCCTGCACGCCCCCTACTGGGGACCGAGCCTGCAACCCGGGCATGTGCCCTGACTGGGAATCGAACCCGTGACCTCCTGTTTCATAGGTGGATGCCCAACCTATTTGTGGTTGAAGCTTCATACTTTGGGTGGATCTGACCATATCATTCTTAAGTCAAAATGCAGAGTGCTACAAAAACAATGCTAGGCAGGGGGCAGCGTCCACAGGGAGATACTCGAGGCGGTCAGGAAGTGGTCCCAGAGAAGTGGAGGTGAGGGTGGTCTCTAGACTTTAAGCTGCTCTGAGACCCTTTCTCTTTGCAGCTGCCTGGATCCGCACAGGTGCATTCTCACTGCTCCCCAAAGGGGAGACGCCTCCCTCTAAAGCAGAGTTTCCCAGCCTCAGTGCTATGGACATTTGGGCTAGTTCATTCTTTGTTGGGGGGGGGGGGGGGGGGGGGGAGGGAGCTGTCCCATGCATGAAAGGGTGTTTGACAGTGTAGTGGGTTGAATAGTGTCCTCCCCCGGCACCCTCCCAAATTCACATCCACCTGGAACCTCAGAACGTGACCTTGTTGGAAATAAGGATCTCGGCAGATGTAATTAGTTCAAGGTCCTGAGGTGAACTCTTCTTGGATTTAGGGTTGGCCTTGAATCAAATGACTTCTGTCCTTGTAGGAAGAGGCGAGGGCACACAAAGGCACTAAGAAGAAGACGTTGAGCATCCATCGACCCTGGACCAAGAAGTCGATTCCAGGTCAGGGCACATGCCCAGGTTGTGGGCTGGATTCCTAGAAGGGGGCATGCAGAAGGCAGCCAATCCATGATTCTCTCTCATCATTGATGCTTCTCTCTCTCTCCCTCTCTCTTCCTCCCTTTCTAAAAATCAATAAAAACATTTTAAAAGAAGAAGAAGACGGCCATGTGAACATGGAGACAAAGTCAAGAAATGACAAGGATTGCCAGAAGTCACAGGATTCTCTCCCAGAGCCTTTGGAGGGAGTGTGGCTTCGCCAACACCTTGAATTTGGACAGTACCTTTCTGTGGTTTTAAGCCACCCCATCTGTGGTTGTTACAGCAGCTTTGGGAAACTAATACCAGCGCAACCTCAGGTTTCTGTCCACTAGATAACAACGCCCCCCCTCTCCCCCCCCCCCCCCGCCTCGGTTATAACAGACAAAAATGTCTCCAGATTGTCCCTCCCCTAGGCCCTACCCCCAGCCACTGCTCTCACAGGGTGGATAGGACGAGAAGAGCCGAGTGGGATGAACCTGGGCTTGAATTCCAGCCCCACCCGGAATAGCTACGTGACCTGGAGAAAGTTGCTCAACTTCTCTGCAGCTCCGTCTCCTCCCGAGTGACATGGGGGTTGAGAAGGTACCAGCATCTCCTCGAACCACCAGGCCGATGCCGTGAGATAAGGTGTGGGACGTGCTCAGCTCAGCACGGCGTCTGGCGCGTAGGTAGCGCTCAGTAAATAGAATCTCAAACAACCGTTGTGATACGTGTTTTTATTGAGCAACAATATTACCCGAGTGATGATAAATATGTTAGGAAATAACAATGGCAATTGGCAGTGCTGTTCTTTAAAGCTCGCAAGCTGAGTCAGGTTTCCACGTGATCATCCACTATGAATGGCTGCCAGACAGACCGGCCAGGAGCTGCTTCTCAGAAGGCATGACATTTCCTGCTGTGGACCGCGTGGTCTTTCCCCACAGTTCCAGGTATTGCACTATGATTCCCCTGGATCCTCCTTAAAGCTGTGTTGGAATGAACCCCGTGAATCACAGAAGGACGCCTCAAGAAGTCGAATTAAAGAGTCACATTTATTGCAATCTGGGACTATGAGGGGTCATTCCCAAATCTCATAGCGATAAGATGGTGGCAAAACCAGACTTATATAGGCAAAGATCACAAAGATATTGACTACATCTCAAGGTTTGGAATGAGGAACCTGGTTTGCAAAAAGCAGTTTACAGAAGCAGAAGCAGCATGTTATCTAAATTACAGTTTTGGGTCTCCGGATCACTGAGTTGCCAGGAATTCATTATCTAGAGCCCTCGGGTCTTGAGACCACTGAGTTGCCAGGAATTCATTACCTAGAGCCATCGAGGCAATTTAGAGTAATTGCGCTGTCCTGGTCTTGGGACCACTGAGTCAACTGGAACGCATTATCTGTGGCCACTAAAACAATTTAGGATAATTGTGCTGTCCTGTTTCCCAGGTACAGAAGAATGTGCTTTCTAAAACCAGTAAGATAACAATCAATGGGATAGTCATTCAATCGAATGGGATGATGTATACAATTCAGAAAATCAAAATAACTTTTCTATTGTTAAGCAAAGCAAATAGGTACCATACTTCAGCTGCACGCTACATCTTTTCCCAGTTCCTCTTGGGACTGGCATCCATTTGTATGCCCGGGCCCACGAGCATGCTAAGTATTTCTAAAGGCGGTCTGCACTGCTCCCAGAGCCCAAAGAGCCTACCACCAGAGAGAAGAAGGCGGGGCAGGGCTCAGGCTCTCCATCATCTTCAGTAATCCACTCTGGCCCCAAACTTGTGCCCCCTGAGCAGCAAAACAAAAGCACTTTGGGGTTTAGTGACTACGTGTTCCTCGTGGGGAAGGTGGCCGACCCTCATCCTAAGCAGTTTGTCCCAGCTGCTTCCTACTCACATCCAGCACCCCTCCCCCACCCCTCAGAGAAGTTTGCCCATCCTGCCCTCTTCTATCCCAATGGGGGCAGAAGAAAGCTACCCTGCTGCTCACCCAGGCCTGCCATGACCATAACGCACATCAGTGTGGAAGTTAAGAACTTGATTCCGCCGAAACCGGTTTGGCTCAGTGGATAGAGCATGGGCCTATGGACTGAAAGGTCCCAGGATCGATTCCGGTCAAGGGCATGTACCTGGGTTGCGGGCATATCCCCAGTAGGAGATGTGCAGGAGGCGGCTGATCGATGTTTCTCTCTCATCGATGTTTCTAACACTCTATCTCTCTCCCTTCCTCTCTGTAAAAAATCAATAAAAATATATTAAAAAAAAAACAAAAACAAAAAAACCTTGATTCCATTCATTAAAAAAATTTTTTTTTTTTTTTTACTGATTTCAGAGAGGAAGGGAGAGGGAGAGAGATAGAAACATCAATGATGAGAGAGAATCATTGATCAGCTGCCTCCTGCACGCCCCCTACCCAGGATGGAGCCTGCAACCCGGGCATATGCCCTTGACCGGAATCAAACCCGGGACCCTTCAGTCCGCAGGCCAAGGCTCTATGCACTGAGCCAAACCTGCTAGGGCTTGATGCCATTCTTGTATGTCCATGGGCAACTCACCTAATCTACTCTATCCCTCCGTTTCTTGGTCTGTAAGAGGAAGACAGTAATACCAATTCCTTAAGACGTTTGAGGCTTTGATGAGATGATAACTACGAAACGGTGTGAGGCATAACCTCTCGGGTTGCAACGAGCTGATTTGGGAACTGTTTGCATCATTTCACTGGAAACTCCTTGAGGGTGGGCGTGGTGTGCTCCACGCAGTCCCCCGAGCTGCTCAGGACACATTCGGTGCCTAAAGCTCTCTTGAATGTATATTCATTTAATAACCAGCCAGGTTTTTTTTTTTCTTTCCTTTCAGGGATGCAGGATACTGGTATCTAAGAGAAAGTGCAGTTCGTATGCAAGAAGCACCAGGTGGTGAGCAGAACAGAAGCCTCACAGCGAGGTAGAGGAAGGAAAACACTCCAACAAATGGATTTCACTTTCTGCGTCTCCGTTTCCTCGTTTGGAGAGTAAAGAGAGTCATGGATATTATTACAAGGCTGCTGCAAAGGTGGCAAGGGCATAGTAAGTGCTGGAGAAACAGCCCTTACTATTATTATCATCCTAAGAATTATTGTCGAGGAAGTAAAACCAAATGCGCTGAGGTACCTGGTCAAGGCAGCCCGGAGATGGGCGGGGGAGCGCTGGGCGGGGCCTCTTGAAGCCACGCCCCTCCACGCCCGCGTCCGGTCGCCAGGCAACGCACTGCCTGGTTGCCCCCGGAGCGGAGCGACGCGTAGCCGCCAGCACCGGGCACACCTGACGTTGGCAAGGGCCGCTTCGTTAGCGTGATGACTGACGATGACACCGACACGACTGTCAGCGAATTTCAGATCGCGGAGGAGAACGATCTGCCTGTTATCCAGCTGTTCAGCCTGGTCGAAGAGCTCAGGTACGGGGCCGCTGGCTTCCGGGGCGGCCCTTACTCACCGTGTGGCCTTGGACCTCAGAGACGGTCAAGACCGCATTGAGCCATAGCCGGCTTGGCTCAGTGGATAGAGCGTCAGCCTGCGGACTGAAGGGTCCTAGGTTCGATTCTGGCCAAGGGCACATGCCTGGGTTGCAGGCTCGTTCCCCAGTAGGGGGTGTGCAGGAGGCAGCCAATCAATGGTTCTCTCTCATCATTGATGTTTCTATCTCTCTCTCCCTTCTCCCTTCCTCTCTGAAATCAATAAAGAAATATATTTTTTAAAAAAAGAAAAAAAAAAGACCGCATTGAACACTGAGAAACTGAGACCCCCACAAAGTAGGGGAAATAGTCGCCTTTGCCTTTTACCTCTGCGTGTCCCGTGTCCCCGCCACTGAACTAACAAGCCATTGATGGAGTGAGAACAATGTGGAGGTGTGAGGGCCTGGGGCCGGTGGAGCGTAATGGGTGAAGCCAGAGCCTCGCCTGGCGGTCTGCCTGGTGCCAAAATGTATACTTAGCCCATCCTCTGCTCGGCGGTGGCTGGTTGGACCAGACGACCTCTAAGCACCTTTCCAATGCTAAGAATCTGTGGTAAAATGAAAGTGGCAGCTGATATTTTTAGTAGGAGTCAAGTTATGCCTGGACCATCCTATAAGCATGGAGATGAACAAAAAAGAGTGACTGGCCCAGTATTCTGTATTTTTAGCAGTCTGTTTTCTATCGACTATAGAAGGTAAATTGGATGGCAAGATTCCATGATGTAGTAGAGGTAATTGTACCACTTATTGGTCTCACACAGAGCATCCTGGCTCTGGCTACATAGGTGTTCTGCTAGGTATCTATAACCAGTTTAGGTTTGAGCTGAGGTATGACTACTAATAGCTCTTATTATTTTTTAAATATATTTTTTGTTGATTTCAGAGAGGAGGGGAGAGGGAGAGGAAACAAAATTTTAAAAAAACCTGAAAAATTAAACCAACGGAAACATCTGAAGATTATACATGTGACTTCAAGAATGAATTAATTCGGAAGGAATTTCACAGATGGGTTAGAAGATGCTTGAAGATGAAACTTGTAGCTTCATCTCAGCCACAATTTTCAATGTAATATTATTGCTTTGGATTCTGTGGCTCATTAGACATATTAAAAACATATCAAATACATAGATAGTACTTACTATGTGCCAGGCATTGTCCTGACGGCTTTACATTCCTTACTGCAACCCTAAAAGGTAGGTGCTGTGATTATTCCCATTTTACAGATGAGGAAACTGGGGCATTAAGAGGTTAAGTATCTTGTAGAAGGTCGTGCCTAGCTAGGAAGTGCTAAATACTATGGATTTGGTGTTGACATACCTACTAATAGAACTTACTCAGGTTCACTCTGTCTTGCAGCTATGGAAACTCTGCTCTCAAAACGGAGACAGAGATGTTTCAGAAATATTTAAATAAACTGGAATCCAGGGAACAGCAAACGCTGCGGTTATCTGACATTAAAATATCAGGAACAGATTTTTCACAGGTACACAATTGAAGAGTTGTTTCATTCAGTTTGTCCCTTTAGACTCTAAAGTTTAGAGGCAAGCGGTATTTGTGCATCTGCCTTTGGCCAAGTCAAGGACATATGACTTTGTCCCTGTTCTTATTTTGATTCTTCCTTCTCAAGGTTTCTCTTTTAAGTCAGTGTGAAGGCAATCAGATTTAATTAATAGTGATTGACACTCCCAGAATATATCTTAGTTTGTTTGAAATCGTTCCCTTAAGTTGGGAGACTCAAAATGTTTACAGGGCCAAGCAAGGCACAGAAAGAGGTGAAGTGGGCCTGTGTGGGCACTGGAAAGTTCCTTCTTCATCTACGAGGGCCAACCAAGTGGCCTGGGGTTATCAAGAGTAATTGATTTTTCAAGAGAAGCTGGAAATCTGAATTATTTTGGTGGAATTTCCTGATTTTCAAGTGTGGGTAATTAATTTTAAAAATATATATTTTTATTGATTTCAGAGAGGAAGAGAGAAGGAGAAAGAGAAAAAAAATCACATTAATGATGAGAGAGAATCATTGACCAGCTGCCTCCTGCATACCCCACACTGGGGATCGAGCCTGCAACCCAGGCATGTGCCCTGACTAGGAATTGAACCGTGACTTCCTGGTTCATAGGTTGATGCTCAACCAACTAAGCCATGCTGACTGGGCTAATTAATTTTTTTTTAAAATTAAAAATCGTGTGTAAGCCTATCCTTTGAGAGCCAAGCAATCCCATCTTGAGGTCCACATATTTCCTGGGCCACCTGCGTGTGACCCGTGGCTCAAATGCAGAGGAGACCCAACATTTTTGTCTCTTTGTTTGTTTTTGCTGACTCCTGTGCCCCCAGATCCAATTTCTCTTCTGTGTTCCGCTCAGGAAGCTCTGAGCTCCGGGCTTTCCCTGGCACGGACTTGAATGCTAGTCCAGAGCAGGTTCACTCACCATCTCTCCATCCTGGAGACACTGGCCCTGATTCATTTTCAGTTCCTTGTCAAGCTTAGGCCTCAGGTTGGCTGGTGAAATAGGTGTCACCTCCGGCCTAATATCCAGAATCCTCTCACTTTGAGTTTGTTCTCTCCGGCTGTCATTCA